ATATATATATATATATATATATATATATATATATATATATATGCTTGACGAAACTCTTATTGATAATTTATCATTAAGTTTGTTGTTATCAGATAGTTTCTTCTACTTTTTCTTGATTCCTAGTCTGATACCAGTTTTTATCGGCTTTAACTTTTCCATTTGGTTAGGTATATATAATTCCCAGCTACTTAAAAAAAATTTCTTAGGCCAAGAATTCTTCTTAAATAACTAGTATTATTGGAGAATGGAGGTGACAATAAATAAGTTCCTGTCTAAAACTTTTCCAACTTTGTCTTGCTTGGTCTGTGAATACTTAACAGGTATGAGAACATATTTGGCTGCTCACTCTTTTTCAGCGCTGTTGGTCATGAATCTGGAAGATATTTTGACTATTGCTGATGTTGTTGAAGCAATCGGAGTACATCTGACGGTCTATTTACTCGTAGTCACCCATTACTAATTTTATGTTTTAGGCATATCAAGAAAATATCTCACAGGAGGCAATTGTAGCTTGTTGTAGCCAGATTCTGCAACTGATACATGGAAGGTTTTCATTAGACTTTTCTTCTCTTCGACAATTCTTCAATTCCTAGCTCCCTCCCAAAAGTTCAACGGGAATTTGAGACAAAGAAACTAGAGAAGACTGTAGATATGGCTGCTGAGAATGAAGACTTTTCCGACCTTCAAAGTATTTGGAAAGTTCAAACAAGAGACACGCCTACGGTACTATAGATATATTCATTTATTTATTCATTTTTTTAATGTTTCACTTCAATTCTCTTTTAGATGGTGGATAAGAAGAAGCTAGAAAAAGCAGATCTGCGTGCCTCTGCCAAAGCAGATGCACGTGCAGAAGCTCCGGTTCAGCGTAAGAAAAGACCTGAGAGTGCAGCTACGGCTACTCAGGTTAATTCCTCACATAATTCGAATAGACTAATTTTTATTGCAGGCTCCAATTAAAGATTTGGGATTACGAGGTGCTAATTCTAAAGATATCAAATTAGAAAGTGTAGATATCTCCATTGGAACTAAGTGAAGTGTTATCAAAATGTTGAGAATTCATTTTTATATTCAGACAATTACTCTCCTGCGCTGATGTGACTATGTCCTTTGGCAGGAAATACGGTTTAGTCGGAAGAAACGGTATTGGCAAAACAACTCTTCTCAAAATGATATCTTGGTAATGAATCCGCTATTCAACTTTTTTTTCATGATGAGATATTAGTGGGCAGCTACTCATCCCATCCGGCATACGAATGCTTTCTGTTGAACAAGAAGTAGAAGGTAATGATGTAAAGGTCTTAGATGCTGTTCTCGCTTCCGATGTTAAAAGAGAGACGATGATCAACAAAGAAAAAAGCATCCAGTCAAAGCTTAACAAGTGAGTGCTCGTCAATTTTCAGTAATACCTAATATTTAGGGACTCGGTCACGGAGAGCGAGAAAAACAAGCTTCATGATGAACTGGCAAAGTTGTATACTGAAATGGAGATGCTGCAAATGGATAAGGTCCAAAATCTATAAGCGATATGAATGATCCTGTGGAATTTTTAGGCGCCCGCGCGTGCGTCATCAATTTTATATGGTTTAGGATTCACCCCTGACGAGCAGAAGAAACCTACAAAGTTCTCACAATTTTTGTTCCGTGTAAATTTCCTCTTTCAGAGAGTTTTCCGGTGGTTGGAGGATGAGAGTTGCATTGGCACGAGCACTTTTTGTTCAACCGGATTTGCTTCTGCTAGATGAACCTACTAATATGTTGGATATGAGAGCAGTTTATTGGCTTGAAGGTCACCTTCAAGTTCGTTTTGTTGTAATGCTTGCTACTGAACCATTCGATTTTAGAGCTGGGAGGGAACAATATTAACTGTTTCTCACGACCGAAAGTTCTTGAACGAGGTTTGTACGGATATTATTCATTTACACACCAGAAGATTGGATCACTACAGAGGTAACTATGATACTTTTGAGAAGGTATACTTCAAATCCAGCTTGATTGATACGGAAATAATTTTATAGACTATGAAAGAAAAGTTGTCACAGCAACACAGGGAATATGAAGCTCAGCAACAGCTCCGCCAACACACACAGGTTCAGCATGCATTTTTGAAACCTTTCATATTTTTTAGGAATTCATCGACAAATTCCGCTATAATGCTAAAAGGGCTTCGATGGTTCAGAGTAGGATTAAGATGCTAGAAAAACTGTCTGCTTTCCAACGAAGTATTATTCTACATCTCTGTTTGTTTTCAGCCCTATACTCTTACCTGTTGAAATGGAGGGGGATATAAACTTCCGGTTTCCAGAATGCGAACTTTTAAGCAATCCTGTCTTAACATTCGACGATTTGTCCTTCAGGTAATCTAGCAACTTAAGCCAATTCTATTTTCGATCATTAAGGTATAATGAAGACTCTCCTTATTTATTCCGAAAATTGAATCTTGGAACCCATTGCTCGTCTCGTATTTGTATTGTAAGATTCTTTATTTTATAAATACCTAAAGTACACTGAACAGGTGGGAGAAAATGGTGCCGGTAAAACTACTCTTCTCAAACTATTGTTGGGCGATTTGGAACCCACTACAGGATTGCGGAATATCAATAGAAGGTAAAATGATATTAAAGTTTTGTATTGCGCATCACAATCTGTTTGGAGGATAAGGATAGGTTATTTCACCCAACATCATGTTGATCAACTGGATATGGAAATGACTGCGCTCGAGGTTTTATCAAAAAATCATCCAGGTTCGGAACAAGGTTTTTTTTAGTAATTGTCCACTCTTAATCATATTAGGTAAAACGCAAGAGGATTATCGCTCAGCGTTGGGACGTTTCGGCCTTATTGGTGATATGGCTCTTCAGTCTGTTTATACATTATCAGGAGGACAAAAGTCTAGATTGGCGTTTGCAAATTTAGCGATGGGGAAGTAAAGAGAATCGTCTTAGCTAATGATCAGAGTAACACCGTTACAGCCCTAATTACTTGGTGATGGACGAACCCACCAATCATCTTGATGTGGAAACTGTAGCTGCTCTTGGAAATGCGCTCAACAAATTTAATGTTGTACAACTCAGCTACAGACGTGATAACGAAATTTCAGGGCGGCGTGGTACTCGTTTCCCACGACGAGCAATTGATTGAAATGGTTTGCAAAGAACTCTGGGTGGTTAAAGACCGAATGGTTTCCAATCTCGATGGAGGCCTAGCTGAATACAGGAAACAGGTAAGTTTTTAACTTTTATATGTTGCAATTTTTTCGTTAAGGTTTATAAGCAACTCCAACTGATAGCTTGATAACTTTTCTGCGTTGAATAATGTTATGATTTTTGAATAAAAAATAATGAATTTCTAAACAGACTAAAATGTACTTGAGAGATCCCGTGATAGCGTGAAGGCTGTCGTTTGTACAGGATACAGGAGAGTTAATATCACACATACATACAATATCTACACTATACCTATTTCTGTACATTCTTAGAAGCACGAAGTGATCAAACAATGAGCAAAAGAACAAGGGTTATATCATCTGGCTTACCGCCAGGAGCCAAAAAACCGTTTTCTCGGGCTTTTATGGCAAAAGGAGAATTGTGATTGGAATCAAAAGCCAATCTTCGAGCTGTTAAAGCTAACGCATTGCACGCCTGCAAACAATAAATTTAGTCTCACTAATATAGAGAGTACCAACTTCTTGAACAGTAATAGTTTGGTCAGTTAGTGGCTTCAACTGGTCAAGAACATGCTTTTCAGTCAAATTATCCCATAATCCATCAGTAGCAATGACAATTATATCACCTTGTTTAATAGAAATTTCTTTTTTGTCTGCTAAATCAGGCGTATCCCCAATAAAGCCACGGAAACCTGAAATTGAGTGTTTTTGCTAGATTAATATTCAGTTCACCTTCAGGGGGCAAAGTCAATTGAAAAGGAGCATTAAAGTAATGTACTTGTTCTGTGCTTTTCGCAAGTACCTTACCATCCCGCACGACCATAAAACCAGAGTCTCCCAAATTGGCAGAATATAACTTTTCCTGGTGCACAATCAGAAGACAAGCAGTCGAAGATCCTTTTGATAAACGTCATCAATAGCTTGTATATATAACATTACCAACGGGACGAGGGGATTCTGCAGTTGCTGTGAATGCTTTGGCAAGAATCTCTTCAGGGAACCGAGGGTCGAAGTCACCTTTCACCACACGTTCTTCGCATTGTTTCATTAACTTGCTACTGAACTCTGAAGGATCGACGCCGTACTTTCGCCAGCCTCCTACACCATCAGCTACACCTGTTCACATAACAAATACTATTAAGATTGGTTTTATAAAACTTGCCGACAACAAAAGAGTTTTTGAATCGAGAAACGAAGCATGCATCGTCACCATATACCCCTGTGTCTAAAACTTTAGAAGTACCTTTGACCATATCCTATTAAATAAAATCAAAAAATAAGGTCAGAAAGAAAAACCTTAGGAAAACCAGCATAACTAGCTACAACATTAGAAGTTGGTTGAGACTGAGTTATATTCTCAGACTTGTTACAGCTGTTATTTAAAACTCGTTGAGCTAATGGATTCACATCTGAGCAATTGAGTCCTAAGAAAGAACAAATTCATGGAACTATATCCCAAAAATAGTTACCGAGGTCTACGGCAGAAGCGGAAAAAGCCGCTCGTAGTGCTAATTGTCCACATGCTAACAAGCGTACCGCTCCAACCATTAGGCATGGGCCTAAAATACTAGAGAAGTTGGAGTTGAAAACATTAAGAAGAGCAGTAACAAGCAAGAATAGTTTAACAAGTTTTATTCGAAGACTTGCGCATGAAAAAGCAATCAATAACTTCTCTTTCTAGAGACCGTGTGCGGTAGCCGCACGCGACGCGTACGCAAGCGTTTAGTAGTATTGGACCCCTCCACATAGAGTGGTAATTCTTATTCTATTATATTTTCTAGTATGTGCATCAGTTTTGAAATATCAGTAAAGCTTTTGGTTTGTAGGTAGAGGATGGTGGAAATTCAGGAAGAAGACAGAACAAGCTCCAGCAACAATAATGATACCGAGTCCAGTAATCCGAGAGTTACTCTTTCGGTAAGTTTTGATTGAACATACCATAAAAATTTTTTCTCAGGAGTATCTGTCTACACGCCATATAGAATGTTTATTAAATGGAGCGAGGGCACTCACTCTTTTTTTCACTGTATGTTATCTTTCACCAATTCCTTTGGTTGTTGCTCCCGGCTCGGCTTATTACAAAGCTTTTGCAGCTGGTATCTTTTATATATTTAAATTTTGAAACTATAAGGAAATTGAAGGAGTCGCCACTAGCGCTATCAGACTTCATCAGCGAATAGGGAGGTTCGCTCTAACCAGAGAATTCTTCATGAACTTGTTAATGGAGGTTCAAAATATTAGAAGAGACTGAAGGAACTATGTCTTGTAATTTTAGGATAGCTGCCATTATTTGTTCTATTCTGCTCTCTTCCTTACATCTTCAACAATAACTATGGCTCTTTTGCCTATTGTTCTTTATGCCACTCTCAACTTTGCCAACTTTATTGTGAGTTGTTAGTAGATAGCGTAGTATATAATCAATGTTCCACAGGTAAAGTTACTAGTATCGACTGGATATCAGCGGCTTCGCTTAACAACACTTCTGGGAAAATTCATACATTCGCAAACATCTAATATTCTTGGAATAATTGCTTGTGCTGAGATTTTTCTGGTGCCACTCATAATCTCTCTCGTATTTGTGTAAGTATATCATCCTTTTCTGAGGAATATTATAATTATAGAGGGCAAGGGTCGTTGGTGCTACCTTTCGTTTACTATAGATTCTTAACGATGAGGTATGCCTCTAGGAGGAATCCATACACAAGGTAAGTTCATCTAAATTTCGAATTCTAAAGTAATTTATATTATAACAGGTCTGCTTTCTCACAAATGAAACATTCTCTTTTACAAATCTCTCATTCACCGAGCTGCCCTCAGTTAGTGGGTCGCTTGATTACTATGAGTACCAATTTCATATCGAACTTGGCTCCTGTTACAGTTTGATTTCAATAAATATTTATTCAATCAAAAAACAAAACAATCATAACAAATAAGCAACAAGCGAACCTCAACAACAGAAACATTCAAACATTAATTGTTTGAAAAACATTGAAACCGGAAAGAGCAGTGTTCAAAGCAAGCCCAGGTATTTGCGGGTGCCAGTGCACTTCTTTAACTTCCTGCTGTCCTAAATGTAGGAACATGAGTTGAGGAGGTACTCCTACAATATTATCGGTGCCATCGATTTCAGTGGAAATGTCCCAAATCGACGTCTGATCATCCTCGCCTGATGCCATGAATGTTGTCGAATCCTGATATATACATGTTTTAAATAGAAACCCTAAGGAGATACCGTAGGATGCCACTCGACAGAAGTGATCGGTTTTGTATGATGCTTGAATCTCGCAACAGGCTCTCCGTACTAAAAACATCATGAAGAAAGAGTGAATAAATTCGCAACTACCTGAATATTCTTCAAAGACCAAACTTTTAATTCTGCATCGTCACCGCCAGAGACGAGGAGAGCATCGTGCTTATTCCAAGAAATTACATTGACATCAGAGTTATGAGCCTAAATGAGAAAAAAATATTTTTTCAAACAGTTTAAAGTAATTACTTTGTCAACAGTGCAAACGCATGCATCTTTAGCTGGAGAACGCGTATCCCAGAGTTTTAAAGAGCCATCCGCGGAGCAAGAAGCTATTAAGCCATGCTCTGTCGGGGACCAAGCTAAATCTTCAACTGATTCTATAAGAGAAGGATACGAAAAACTTTTTAAGGCTAAGCAAACTTTTATGTCCCAATAGTGGCTTCTGGTCAACAAGCCATGTGCCTCCTTCATGCATATGCCATACATAAATGTTTTTAACAATATCTCCAGTAGCAATATCACCCTCAAAGAAGAAACGTGTTTTTTCGCTGTGTTGTATATTACCTTTTTAGTTGGGCACCAATCTAAAGCGAAACCTTCTTTTTTACTACCATTAAATGAAAATAACGGTTTTTGCTGGAAATAAAAAAATGGAAAAATTAACAAAATGTTCTCACATTGTCCAATGTTTTCTTAACACCTTTTTGCTCAGACGAAAGGTGAGCCAGTGCTTCAGTAATATTCCATAATTGAACTCTTCCATGTTCGTTCCACACAGCGCAAACAGAGCTATTTCCGAGTTTCTCACTCTTCAAATAAATACAACTGTTTTTGCTTCTTTAAATCTTCCAACTCTAATTCTGTTGGTTCCTCCCAATTGAGGGATTGAAACGGTTTCCAATTTCGGTTCGTTTTTCTTTTCCTTCTCTTTTTCTTTTTCACCATCGTCATCATCGTCGTCATCATCACTTTCCTCTGCTTCTTCCTAGAACAACTATGACATTAATCACGATACAGAATATTAAAACAACGTCTTCTATTTTCATAAGATTTTTCAATCGCATCACAAGAATTTCATTATCCTTAGATTTTTCAGCTTGAGTTCCAGTAACTACGTAACACTCAAGAGGAGAGGTATCTCTTATACCCAGACCGTCCTCGACTACGTCAAATGATAAACATGGCCAATCTGAATGAGAGGAGAAATAAGAATTAAAACATCAGATTACTTGTTTTGAAAGAATGAAACATTTTATAAGCTTCTGGATCGAATTCCAATTCCTCCCCTTCCTCCAAAGAACCACTAACACCTGGGATGAAAACCTGAAACGCACATTTATGCAAATCACATTTCTAACTTACTCTAGGTTCATCGCTTCCATTTTCATTAACTTGCTCCGTCAAGCCGGTTTCTTCAACTTCCATATCTTCAGTTTCTTCTTTGGTAGACATTATGAGAATTTTTCAGGTTGTCGTAAAGCTTTCGGTCGCGTTTGAATGATGCAAAGAATATCTTCACAAGAAATGTGCCAATGCATGGCGTGAATTATGTGTATAATAAATCTTTATGCACGAACGAAGTGCTACTAAAATCAACAATGCTGTTAGATCCTAATGGAGGTGGTATGGCTTTGCCTGATTTGCGAGATCTTATAGAAACACGAGTTCCTAGTCATCGGTTTTCAGATTCCTTGTTTTTATTTCACAATTTTTTGCTTGCAGGGCTCAATTGGAAACGAGTTACATAAACTTGGATAATGTCGCGGCTTTTTGTGAACAAAATTATATGAAACAGGACGTAATTATGAAAGTGTGCAAAAAAAATAACTTAATTGTTTAAGGATAAGTCTGCTGCGTTAGAAGAAACAAAACAGTATGCATTACAATCTCTTGCAAGTGTTGCATATCAAATCAATACGTTAGCTAGAGATTTACTTGATATGCTCAGTTTACAAACAGACAAAATTTTTGTTCTTGCAAGTAATGTGGAGAATATCAAAATGGTTAGATTATGCACATATTACGCATTTTTCTGTTTTTCAGATTGTAAATATCAACAAAGAGAAAATGGCTCGACGGGAAATTGGAGCATTGACAACCAACAAGTCTATTTCTAAGCAACCTAAAATTATCAGCCCTCCTTGTCAAGTAACAAAGCTTTGCGAAGTTCTATTTCATATATTTAGGAAGCTATTCCACGTTACAAAAGAAGCCAAATTGACTTCACTTTGTTGGATCAAGTTGGCCATGGAGTTAAAACAGAAGCACCACGAACTGGTATGGTATCCCGAGCATCCTCCAACTTGTCGAGCAGTAATAACTATGGATATTATGGACAATATGAACGAACAGCTAACATTTCTAACAACACGGTTTTATATATACATATATATATATATTGTATATACTCATCTCTATTCAGCTCAGCAGATCTTCATTGAGATCGGGCCCAACTGGTCAGAAAACTCAGAACGATCACTATAGAGTACCCACTGTCATGCCTATGCTAGATCCAGGCCGTTACTCTTTTTCAGTTGCTTCTCAATTTTGTAGTGAAAACGAGAGAGTGGGAGCAGGAAATATAACAGGCAGTGATGGTGGAAGCATTATTGGATCCTCTGATTATGGATGTGCTTCGTATTCCAGTGGTACTATCAATAATAGCTACGGTATGTATAAACTGCGTTCTATTTAACGTTACATTTTTTATCAGGAACATTAAGAGTTCAGCAGTTCCCAAAAACTTCTACAAACATCGAATCTTTAAAGTCGACATCCCCAGAACTTCCACCACCACCAGCAATAGGAAGTCAAAACTTTCCGTTCTTCTCGAACAATAGTATGTTTAACATACTCGCAATACTCACGAATAATTTTAGATGCAAGAATTCATGAGAATTCACGCCCGATTTCGGACGAAGAACCATTACCACCTCCTCCTCCTCTTGCTTCCACTAACGATTTAAAAGATGATTACGACTCCGAAGAAGTGCGATATCTCGAGAAAGGTGCGTGAAACATATTATCATTCTTTAAAAATACCAAGGGTTGGTTTCAGCTATTGCGTTGTATGACTATGAAGCTGATAAACCGGATGAGCTGACTCTTAGAGAGAACTGTGTCGTTTATGTTTTGAGAAAGAATGATGATGGATGGTTCGAAGGTATTTTAGATGGAGTAACAGGTCTCTTTCCTGGCAATTACGTAAAATCTATTTGAGAAAATCTATTGAATTAATACTTTATTTCGTTATTGTCAGTATGATTTTTTCAATAAATCTTCGAAACTCGAGATGATGTGAAGAAAACGCTAAATAGACAGTAAATAAACTTTACATAGATGGAAATAACTTCTCTGTTGAGTTTAGGCAAACGACTTTTCAAAGTTTGGAGCATTTCCATAGAAATCTCCTTTTCATTGTTCCGATAGGAGAAGATAGCAAAGTTTAACAGCTGTAATACGGTTTAGAGAATATTTTTAAAATCTTACTGTTCTCGGATGACTTTCTATTCCTAACGCATGTATGTAAGCACGTTTGGCGTTCCGATTATCTTTAATATTGGCCAGACTAACTAGAAATAGCCTGTTCATTTTCATTTTCAGAATAACAAGAGTGTTCACCAGCGTATGCACCAATGAGTGAGCTATTCCCTTTATTCAATTCTACTGCAGCTTTAAGATAATAACGAGCTGAAGCATTGAGATCCATTGTTAAATGGATAACCCCAAGGTTGAAAAGTATTCTAAAAGATTTCAGTTTTGTATTCGGGTTAATTCATTTTATTCTCACTGATAATTCAGGGGACTTAGGTAAGATGCTCTTTTGAGGCAGGAGTGAGCCGCTGCTAATTTTCCTTTAGCAAATAAACATATACCAATATTATTCCACAAGAACCCATTGTAATCGCATGTTCGAGCCGCGATTCTGGAACGGATTTTTTTAATATATCGATCATTCTTGTGAAACCTGTATTTACTCAGCGCAACGTCATGGTCACCATGATTTTGCATGATTGAACCAATAGCCAGAATACACTAAATGAGGATCAATCAGAAATGTTTTTCAACTGCTTCAAACATCCGCATTAGATGGCGTATAGGTAAGAGCTCTCCCAAAAACGGAGAATGCAGGATCTCCTAGACCTAACCTCATATTCAACAAACCAATTTTCAACATAATGCTTTCATCTTCGGGAACAGTCTTAACCGGCTTCTACGAAATAATAAGATTTTTAAAACTTACCTCGAGAGCTCTAGTATGAGCTTGTAAGGCAGTTGCATATTCTCCAAGTTCAGTTTGTACATCCCCTAATAGCTCTAATAGTTCTGGGTACTCCAGCAGGTTGGGAACCTAACATTTGATATACGTTGATATAGTATTGTATTCAGCTCACTTGGCATATCAAATCTCGAGCTTTTTCCAATGGTTTGAACAAATCGGTCTCCAGTCTGCATATAGACTTAGCCAGCCAATAGTACGCCATCTGCGATATAAAAAACATGATAACAACAATGAGACAAAAGCTAACTCCATCAAATTTGTCATACTTTACTGCCTTTTCCAAATTCTCTATAGCTGATCTATGTTGACCTGATAAATAATTAACTCGTCCAATCTCGCGCAAATATCTAGAAGAAGATATTCCATGAATTATTTTTTTTCGCCACCTAGGGTCATTATTTGATATTTTGTAAGCTTTCTCAAAATATGATAACGAGTTTTCCATATTTCCTTCGATTCGCTCAATCAATCCAGCCACATACAAACTGTACTCGCATAGTTCGTTGAACTTGCTGATAGAATCCTTAACTGCACGTATACTACTTAGTGAAGAAAATAACGATACTTTTATTAAAACTTTACAATCCTCATACTGTCGTCGATTTAATAATGAATGTAGCAAACCATTCATTTGATCGTAGCTTGCGACTTCCAGTCGTACTTTAGAGCGGGCATGTTGTTCATACTGAAAGACTTAAATTTTATTGATTGGAATAAAAAACAACTTCACCTCAGCCATTGTTTTATCAAAGAAGTCGAAAAATTCAATACTAAAACGAGTAGTAACAGTTGCCATGGAAACATAACATAGTCATATGAATTAACTCGATTAGACACAGCATATTTATTCGAAGTTTTTTTTTCAATCATAAAAGGAATACAGATTTATTCAGGGTACACTAGACTTTCTCCGTAATCCGGAAAAACGAAATCCAGCTTGAATTTGATTCGGCTGAAGAGAGTTATCGATCCTTTCTTCACACGGAACCGACATACGTTCATTGGTACACTAAAACAGAGAGAGAGTAATGAAAAGAACTTAAAGCGTACGTTAATAACTTCCGGTTGAATCTTAGGTTTCTTAAAAGGGTTTGAACAACTACTATTCCTACAGTTAAAATGAAGGCTGTCTAAATTAATCGCAACAAAACAACCTCCTCTTGAAATATCGACATGACGTGTTAACAATCTCTCTAGTCCGATCAGCAAACAAAGAGACTTCTGTAGAAAGCAATATATTTTGGCAATCAAAATCCAATTTCACTTTCTATTTCGGTGTTTGGTTGAGCGGAAGATTTTGAGAGGTTAAACGAGATAGGTTTCTCCACAACTTTTTCTGTTATGTTTCCAATTATGTTAAGTTCATTCTGAACATGCTGAGTAGTCGTGTTTTAGAAGCAACAGCTAACAGGTTTTTCTTCAGATTCATTATTCTTTGAGGATTGGCTCGTCCACACTGACCAGGATGGTATAACCTCTGGTAACTTAAATTTATCGTTATCAGCAGACTCACTGATCTATAATTAATAAATGAAAAAAGAAAACGGTCCAGTACAAACTATATTTCCCAGAGAATGACGAACAGCATCAAAATCCTCAGCTATGCTCCCAGCAAAATGAAGATTTTCACAAGTTTCCTAGAACAAAAATTATCCTATATCTGAATAACTTCACACATTTCCGTAAGAGCTGAGAGGGCGCTGTTTTCTTTGCCTGGGATCAAAAACTATCTAGAAGTGTCTGATAATGAATTCTAAAACTGTTGACGATTTGCCTGATGCAGAAAAGTTAGTTCAGCTTTAATGAAATCCTGGACAAACGAACTTGTAACAACGAGCTTCGGCATTTTCAGATAACTAGGAATGCGTGGCAGAATCTGTGATGAAATAGTCTTTTGCTGAGATCATAGAGATGATACCTTTTCTAATTGAGTTTGCGAAGTTTTAGTGAAAAAGTTATACGATTTGCTCAACCCCACGCCGGGTAGTCCATTCTAGAAAATGAGATGTAAAATAAGACAGCAAAACAAACTTGTAAGTAATCGCAGCCTGACAGAATACAAATTCTTCTAAACTTGATGAAATCGAAATTTCTATTCATTTCCCCTGTGAAACAATTGGGTAGAAGTGATTTCTGGTAGATAGAGCAAGATTCAGATTCGAAATCCCATTTGAATACAATCTTGAGTTCACAATTAGAAGCATACGAAAAACATTAAAGAACTTTGGAGCAACCAAACACAATCAAGTCAGAATCTTCAGTGATTACAACATCTGCCAAATTGTTTTCTAAAAGAAAAGCTAACTGCGCATCGGCTTCATAAGGAGCGACTATAACATCTACTCGAGAGATTTTTCGAAATACCTTGAAGAAATAGTGAGAATAACTCAAAAATTAATCACCTCCAGTGTTTCTTCTATTACATCCCTAGTTAGGCTAACAGCTTTCTGCAGCCTACCGACGGCTTCGTTTTTTTTTCCCTGGGAAAGTAGAAATGTACCTACTCTCATATTTTCCATTCTGTTTTCTCTTCTTTGATCATTCACCCCCTGATTACCGTGAACTTAAACAAAATATTCTGAAGAATCCGTTAACCTTTTTAGCTGGTAGAGGAGCTCCATCAAAAACCAAAATAACATAACAGTTTAAATTGAGCAAGGCTTCCACGCGACGTTGCACGTATGTTATATAACTGATATGAAAGAAATATTTTACAAAAGTTAGCAGACTAACTTCTTTGGATTCAATCCCTCTGCAGCCTGTTGTACGCATCCGAAGAGGCCTTTATGAAGAAGACAGCTGATATCCACTGCCACAGTTTGCCCTTCAAGTTCTCTAATATTCCCAGGTCGACAAGCATTTTTTACGAAAGGAAGTAAATTTGTTATTCCCATTACTGAATCAATCTAAAATAAGGAGAAACAATATGCCGATCAGAGTAATGAAGGAATAAGTCGACTGTTTTGCTTAGGCTTAGGCTTAGGCTAAAATTGTGCACTTATTAATGAACTCGAAACTGTTAAGATAATTTACTTGTAAAAGAAGTTCGGAAACCCCAGTACAACGTGAATAATTTATTAAAAAGAGCTTTCCAAAAACTTGAAACTACTAACATGCGATTTGAAGAAGATTGAAACAACGAGGATAGAAATTCAAAAAACATAGTAAAAAGTAAGCAAAACCTAAACCGCTCAGTAGTCATCGTGGCGAGACCCAGTCAACTTATAATCTCTGTTGGTTTCAAATATTTTCATGAACACTCTCCAACTATTTTTGTTATCGTTTTGTTCGTATGCACAGGTATTATGACAATGAGAAGAGGAGATACTAATAACAGCGATACCAACTTCGCCACAATTAATAAGTGACTTAGACAAGCTGTTTGGCGAATTGGACAACACGATAAATACAAATTTGTTAAATATTTTGAATTACTCAATGTTTACGTCGTCTTCGAAAAAAAATGTCTATCATTTATACAGTCTATTTTATCTCACTACGGATAGGTAATATCACATATGGAGTAACACAAAACAACATTACGAAGTAGACCTAAAACGTGAAATAAACCACGTAAACAGGTGTATTTTCACTTCTCTCATAGTGGAGATATCGGAAAACCGAGAGTACCATTGAATTTCTCACGTGAAAAAATATTTTGAGATTTTGATGAGATAACTTTCAATGAATGAACCACGTAAGCAGGTGTATTTTCTTCAAG